CAATGCTCCTTGTCTAAAGGATGAGGCACTGGCTTCTCTCCTGGATTTCGGCAGAAACCCACTCACCAAGTGGGTGAAATAGACATTCATTGAATGATTACACAAATAGATATAAAATCACTGTTATGCAAAATCACTATGGAGAAATCACCTTACACCTGTCTGAATGGCTATCATTGAAAAGAACACAACTAACAATTGTTGGCAAGGATGTGAAGAAAGGGAACCCTCGTACACTGTTCATATGAATGTAAATTGGTGCAGCCATTGTAGAAAATAGTATGGAGGTTCCTCAAAAAACTAAAAGTAAAACTACCATATGACCCAGCAATTCCACTCCTGGGTATATATCTGAAAAAAACCCCCACTAATTCAGAAAGATGCATGCATCCCAGCGTTCATTGCAGCGTTATTTACAGTAGCCAAGATATGGAAGCAACCTATATGTCCATCTAGTAGATGATTGGATGAAGAATGGAATACTGCTCAGCCATAAAAAGGATCAAAATACTGACATTTGCAGCAACATGGATGGACTTGGGGGGCATTATGCTAAGTAAAATAAGTCAGACAGAGAAAGACTTGAAGCATTATGCTGTACACTATAAACTGACACAATATTGTAAACTGATTATGCTTCAGTGAAATATATATATACAAAAAATAAGTCAGAGAAAGACAAATACTGCATTTTGTCATTTATATGTGGAATCTAAAAAATACAACAAATTAGTGAATATAACAAAAAAGAGGCAGACTCACAGATGTAGAGAGCAAACCAGTGGTTACCACTGGGGGTGGAGGGACAACATAGGGATGGGGGAATAGGAGATACAACCTACTGGGTATAAGATAATGTCAAGTGTGTACTGTACAATACAGGGAAAATAGCCAATGTTTTGCAATAACTGTAAATGGAAAGTAGCCATTTAAAATTGTATGAAAAAAATATACAGGGGAAAAAATAAAGTTCCACATTTAAGTGATTAAAAAAATCACTGATATAATGAGAATGAGGGGATAATGAGCACCTGATATAGCTGGTATGAGAAGCTGGTGAGGAGAGGCTTCCTTGAGGAAGTGGGGTTTGTGCTGAAATCTCAAAGCCAGGGAGGCATTAACTCTGAAAGAATGGAGAGACAGGGGCAGCATATGCAAAGGTCCTGTGGCACCACCTCTGCCTATCCTTTTTCTGATGCTGGGATTCAGCTTGCCTCATGTCTCACTTTTTAGTCCCTTTTGGTCTCCCTGCCACTTGTCACTCCCATCTATCTATAGAGGGTTTGCAAACTAGGGCCCCAGGGCCAAATCTGGCTCTTGAGCTACAAATGGTTTTTTAAAATTAATTAATTAATTAATTATTAAAGTATGGTTGATTTACAACGTAGTGTTAGTGTCTGGTGTACAGAAAAGTGATTCAGTTATACATATACATACACATTCTGTTTCATTATGGTTTATTACAGGATATTGAGTATAGTTCCCTGTGCTATATACAGTAGGACCCTGTTATTTATCTATTTTATGTATAGTAGTTCATATCTGCTAATCTAGAACTCCTTATTTATCCCTCCTCATCCCCTTTCCCCTTTGGTAACCTTAGATTTGTTTTCTATGTCATGAGTCTGTTTCTGTTTCATAAATAAGTTCATTTATGTCATATTTTAGATTCCACATAAATGATATCATATGATATTTATCTTTCTCTTTCTGACTTCACTTAGCATGATAATTACGAAGCTTTTAAAGTGTTTAAAATGGTTGAAAACAAGAGACTACATTTCATGAACCAAATTTCATGCTGCTTTTGATATTTTGTTTGGTAATTAAGACTTTCAAACCTAGCGTTTATGTGAGAAGCCTCAGTGATAACCATAGGATTAATGTATCCAGTGATATGTAATTTTAGAAAGTCCATACTAGATGGAAGATTTTAGATAAGATTTTCTGGGTTGCCAATTAATTCGAGTTTTTCTGCAATCATGGAGCCTGGACACTTGATAAAAAAGTGGAGGCTTCCTCCTGATTTCCTCTGTGTGAGATGTAGTCGAAATATTTTGGTAGTTGTTATATTTGAGAACACCTGTTGTCAGGTAGCCGTATTCGAAAAGGCAAGTATGTAGGAGGGTTTCTGGGGTTGGGACAGTGTAGGGGGAAGAAAAGGAGTGAACAAACACCAGTCACTAAAACCCAAACAGCTAGATCCATTTCTGCAATATTTTTAAATTTTCTTTAAAACAAACCCAGAAAACCTACATGCTATATTTTATCATTAAAATTTAGGGGAGAGGAACACTCAGAAGGTAGATATTAGTTAAGAATCTTTCTGAATCATTTTGATGACTTCATTTTTCAGTGCAAAAGTAAAAAAAAAAGGTACTATATTTTGTGACATGTAAAAAGATGTGAAATTCAAGTTTCAATGTCCATAAGTAAAGTTTCATGGGCGCTCAGCCACGCCCCTTCCTTGGTGTATGGTCTACAGTGGTTTCCACGCTACAATAGCAAAGCTGGGTCATCACTGCAACAGCCACTGCATGCCCCATAAAGCTGATAATTACTATCTGGCCCTTTACAGAAAAATTTTGCTCATCCCTAATCCATGGTATGACTGAGTAGCAGGTTTATTCTGAAGCACCTGCCCTCCCATACCCCTGCTTAACCCTTATCATGGTCCTCTCTGCCCTATGTCCAATCCCCATCTGACCACACCCCCTGCACCCTCACTGTCTGCTCACTGTGTGCTAAGGACACATGGGTCTCCGTGGTTTCTCTGAACAACCCCGGCTCTGTCCCGCCACGAGAATGTTGCACATGATGTTCCCTCCCAGGGGACGATTATGCACACCTGAAGTGGGTGGAACTGGACCAGTTCACAGCCAGGGTCTGTATCTCTGAAAGCTTTCAGTCCATTTTGTGAAATGAAACTATCGCCACCTGATGGCCACTTCCTCCAACTGCAGCTGCAATTTTTTCAAAGCTTGTGGCGTGGACCATCCTCTCTAGAACCAGGGAAACATGGAAAGTGCCCATGGAAAAATGCCTCAGATCTGGTTCTCGCATAGCTCTGAAATGATGACTATTCAGGTCCCAAATCTCTCCAGGTGTCCTCCCACCTCACATCTATCCCAGTGATCTTCAAATTTTATGGCTCATATAACCACCCACCCTCTCCCTGCTCGGGCTTGTTAAAATTACGATTTAGTGGTCTGGGATGGCATCTGAGTCTTCATTTCTAACAAACTCCCTATAACTCTTTTGATTCATGGACCACTTTGAGTATCAGGCTATACGTTTTCTATGGAAAAGAGGTCAGCAAATCTCTCTGTTAAAAAAAAGGCCAGAAAGTAAGTAAATATTTTAGACTTTGATTGCCTAGGGCCTCTGTTGAGACTACCGAAATCTGCCTTGTAGCTTGAAAGTAGGCAAAGATGATTTGGGCAGTGTTGCCACAAAAGTTTATTTGTGGGCACCAAAACTAGAATTTTATATAAATTTAATCTGTCGCCAAATAGTCTTCCTTTAAAAAAAATTTCCCTGACCATTTAAAAATGTAAAAGTCATTCTTAGCTTGCGGGCCATACAAAAACAGACTGGGCTGTGGTCTGCAAACCCCTGCTCTAGGCACCAAATTCTAGACGACACTGTGTGTTGTTAAGCCATGGGGCCCTGGAATGGGTCCTCTATTTAAATCTTTGCTGCCACTTATCAGCAGCTTCACTTTTCATGCCTCAGTTTCCTCATGTGTAAAATAAGGGGTTATATTACCTAACTTGTAGGGTTATTGTTTAAAATCTAATGAGATAATGTATATAAAGGACTTAGCTGTTGGTATCATTACTGTCATCACACTGTCATGACCTGGAAAGTGAATCCATGCAGTTCGAATCTTTCATCTTTTTCCTCCAGTTGTAGCACAGACTCCCTTAACCAGAGCACAGGGTAGGTCAC